TGTGTGCTGCCTAAACTCTGGCAGTTCCTGTCCCAGCGCTCAGGAGTTATTTGTGCAAATGCCACAGACATGGAATTTAGGAACCAGATAGGCAACCTGGTAACCTAGAGCAAGTCCTAGCCCTGGCCTTATGCAGAGTCCATTTTCTCTTCAACTGCTGTCACTGCTACCCCCAGCACTGCTGCTTATCTACTGCTCTCGGCACCCTCACTGTCATCAAATGGGGCTGGTCCCCACCTGGTACCCTGCTCTGACTGCCCCTAGGTATCCTAACTGTTCTGATGCTGTGCTTGTGACAATATCTTGGTGCCTGGTGCTGCCTGTTTTACTTCATGGTGTGACCATCTGTTCTGCTCATGCACCTGCCTTGTTGTCTTATTTAAATTCACAAGTTAAAAACAAAGTTAAACTAGACATGAGGTGCATGCCTGTAGTCTCAGCACTCAGTATGCTGAGGTGGAAGGATTGCTTGGGCCTAGAAATTTGAGACCACCCTGGGCAACATAGTGAGACACAGTCTCAAACAACAACGATAATAAACAAAACCTCCACATAGATTAAAAAATAAAATTATTAGTAAATTAAAGTTACTGACAATAGAACATTAAACCAAGCCTGGCGACCTTCTGAGGATGGGGCTTTGCAGAACTGCAGAGATTGCATGGCTGTGAAGACAGTCCAGTCGGTCCAGGTTGTGGAGCAAGCGGGTCTTCTGCTCAGTCCATACACGCTGCAGACTTCGTGACGTCCATGTGCCAGTGGTGGAAAAAGATGCCAAGTGGAAAAAGCCTCAGTAGGAAAATCACAAGGGAGCTGCCTCATGTTTTGGAGCAAGGTCTTGGCATTTATAACATGAATTACGCACCACTGGAAAAACAGTTCCTAATGAGCTCCGATAAAAAAATGGAACTTTAAACCATGAGGCAAAAAGTGACCGTAAGACCTGACCTACTCATGTGGTGTCACCTCTTGGATCCACCAAGTAATAAGGTTGGTCAAGACCAGCATGAATTCTGATAAGATAAAACAGTACATCCAGAGCCAAGTAGGACCAGAGGGCATAAACAAGTGCATGAGTACGTAGTCTAGAGTCCCACAGCACTCAGTATAGTTACACCAGTGTCCATCTCTCAGCTCACTATTTTGAGACCTCTCTGGGCAACGTAATGAGACCCAGTCTTAAACAACAACAAGAATAAACAAAAATCCCCGCATGGATTAAAAGATAAAATTATGGTAACTTCAAGATGGTGATTAAGTTCTCCTATGACTAGATAAAGGAGGAGGAAGCTTGGTTTATGGATACAACAGCTTGGTACTATGGAGCAAGGTGGAAAGAGTGGTTGGCTGCATTACAGCCTCACTCAACGTTAACTGTGAAAGACTGTGGTAAGGAAAACCACCCTTATGTCCTCATGGACAGAGCTTTGGTGGTACAACTATCCATCCAGTTTGTGTGGAAGACATAGCGTGAAGTTAAAAATATCCCCTCTTTTTCTCTCCCTCCCTTCTCCATAGTGGTGAATAGCCTTGGTGAATGGTCATTAGCCTGGAAGAAAAAAGTTTGGATTGGAGACATGGAGGTCTGGGTTAGTGGCAACGGATGGATATACAGACTAGGCATAAGGGGCCGGGGATTTAGCTCAGTGGCACTGCGTCTGCCTTATAAGCACAAAGTCCTGCGTTCATTTCCTGGGACTGGGGAAAAAAAACCAAAACCAAACAAACAAACAAACAAAAAAACCCAGAATAGGCACAAAGTATGTGACAATGTGTGAAGAACTTTGTAGTTATATTGCAAGTTTATGACATAAAATTATTAACATAACTAAACATTAAGCCTAAATTCTCATATTTAAAAAAATGATCATAATTAGCAACATCATTAATCTTAGTAAATTTCATTTTAGCTATTAGTCTCAATTGCAATATTTGACGGTTAGGTTCTGTTAGACCAAGGTCTCTCTTAACTCCAAGTGGGCAGCTATTGAGCCCTCCCAGTCACCTGGCAAGATTAATTCGGGAAAAGGTGCTGCTCTTTGCCAACACTATTTCTCGAATTCTATTTAATGGAACTCATTTTTCTTTTTTTGTTGTGGTACCAGGGGTTGAAATCAGAAGCTTGTGTTTATGAGGGCAGGTAGCAGCACCACTGAGCTAAATCCCTGGCCCCAGAACTCACTTTTCTCAGTAAAGTAGGTAATTGGTTGGTGTTTTCTCTAGTTTTCATTTTATTTATTCAACTAATTAATTAAGAAAATATTTATTAATCACCTACAATGTACCACGGAATACTTCAGGTAATGGGTATATATGTTTGAACAAAATGGACAAACATTCCTGCCCTCCAAAGACCTATATTTTAGTGGTAGGAGATAGATAATCAAATAAGTCAGGAAAGTATGTATTGTATAGGAAGATTGTGAGTAGAGTGAAAAAAAGAGAAGCAAGAAGGGAAATAAAAGACTACTAGGGGATGGGAAGCCGCAATTTCAAATAAGGCGGCTGGGGAAGGACACATTGAGCACATTTAAGCAGACAATTGACTAGGTGAAAAAAGAGTCAGATGGGTATCTGGGGAAAGATCATTCCAATAAATACAATGACCATGAGTCTGCTGAGTTTGCCAATTTCTACTCTTTCAGTAATTTGGTGATGATGGGGAATGTGAGATAGCTTTGAAGTTTTGATTTACAAATGTTAAAATGCACTGTTTTCTTGGCCTCTTTCTTCAACCACTTCAGCTCACTTTGAGTTTATTATAGTTTTTGATGGAGACACCCTAAACTAGAATAGTGCTGAAGACTAGTAGTTATTACATCTGTTCTTAGGGGACAGAAATAGAGAGAAAGGGCTAGGAAGTCAACTAAGAAAAGAGATTCAATGTCAGCCTCTCCTTAAAGTTCTACTTGCTGCGGTTTGGCATGTGAAGGAGACCTTTGGGAGTCATTCAATGCCAGGGAAGATGGGGTGGGGGCAACAGTAACATAATAAATAGTTCCATTTTATTTCATACATTTTAACATTATGTGGCAACTGTAGAAGTTATAAAATAGGCCGGGCGTGGTGTCGCACACCTGTAATCCCAGCACTCGGGAGGCTGAGGCAGGAGGATCTCTGTGAGTTGAGGCCAGCCTGAGCTACATAGTGAGTTCCAGGTCAGTCTCACTACGTAGTGAGACCCTGTCTCAAAAAAAAAAAAAAAGAAAAAAAAAGAAAAAGAAAAAAGAAGTTATAGTATTTCCACTATAATTTAAAAATTATGGCTACGTAAGGGAAAAAGTTATGAAAGTTTTGCTTTCTGAATATTAACTCCAGTTTTAGCGGGCCCTATTATTGTGGTGGTGTCAAGGGCCCGGTAAGCTTTTGAAAGTGCCCTTGAACCTTAAAAAGTGTCCTGACCAACATGAAGCACCACTACTGTTTAGTAGGTGCACTGCTGCCTCTTTTGGAAGTTTGGGCCAATATTTGACAGCATTAGGTTAAAAAATATTCATTTGTTGTGAAAACTGGACACTTAGGGCTTTAAGAAAAGTTCAAGTCATTCTTCCTGAGTTGAGGAGTTATTTAGCCTCACTGCCTCAGTGCTTCCTTCCTTTACAGTGTTTGTCTTTGTTACTTTCTCATCTCTGGGACATAATACCCAACACCCACAATCTCAAGGAGGAGAGGTTTATTTTGGCTCATTGTTTCCGTCTGCGGTGGGCTGGCTCCAAGGCAGAAACAAGATGGCAGAGTAACACGGCTGAGGAAAAGGTGCTGAACCCATGGCAGCCAGGAAGCACACAGAGAAGCTGGGGACAAGAGTACACCCTTCCAAATCCTGCCTTCATTGTATCTCCTAACAGCAAGCCAGCTGTAGAGTCCTGTAATTCAATCATCTTCCCCAACCCCACCTCTATTCAGGGATACTTTTCATGAGACTTTTGGAGGACATTTATATCTAAACTATGACACGGTTAAGGGAGGATTAAGTGGGACAATCATGTAAATCACTAAGAGCAGTGCCTCACATGTAAAACCGCTAAAAATGTTGAGAATTATTATTAAATCCACAAAAATATCTATGGAGAAGGTGCACCTCGTAATTCTTCTGAGGCCCACGTTAAAGATACATCTTTGTTAAACTTGATTTTACCAGTAAAACCAGCTCCCTTGATTTCATAGTTCGCTGGTCTCACGAACGTTTATTAAACCCTCATTCTGTTATGTCTTGCATCAGGGAATTGGCCTTAATCCAGTAGAATTTGTTTTTCATCGGAGAAAAAAGTTCATCGCAGTATTAAATCCCAAGTAGGTGCCAGGTGTCCTGAATTTTAGAAAAGTTATTGTCAGAAAACAACTAGAAGGCCTCAAAGGCGCTCAGATCCTGTGGGAAGGCGAGATGGGCGGGCATTGTGCCCGATTGTGTGAAGAAGGAACTTCTGGCCTCGGCCTATTGGTTGGAGTTTAAAACCCTCCCGGGCATTTGGCTGGAGGCTGAATAGGATACCAGGGTTGCCCTCTTCCTAGAGTTAAATCACGTGCTTCAAAGTGAAGGTGCTGGAAGCGGAGCGCCCTTCCCCCTCCGGCGGCATCCTGATCTGCTCCGGCCACATCCTGCTCCCGGCGCTCCCCGCACCTCGCTCGGGCTGGGCCGGGTCTCCGGGCCGCGGGTGTGTCCCC